TACCTTAGACACATAGTGAACGAAGTAGCATTAAGGCCTGATAAAAAGAAAATAACAGCAATTCGGGATTGGCCCAAACCTAAAACTGTCACTGAACTAAGATTTTTATAGGACTTACTAGTTACTACAGGAAGTTCGTAAGGAACTTTTCTTCGCCTATGAGAAGACTCTTGAAGAAAGAAAAACCTTGGTTATGGTACAAAGATTGTGAGTCTGCATTTAAAAAGTTGAAACATTGTTTTGAAAATTGTTGATCCAGATTCAGAGTATGATTATTGGGGAATGCCATGACAGAGAAGGGCACTTCGGATTCAAAAAGATCTATGCTAACGTTAGAGAACGCTTTGAATGGAAAGGAATGAACGAGGATGTGCTAACCTATGTGCGAACTTGTCTTGTTTGCCAAAGGAACAAGGCCTCGCGTGATAATCCATTAGGACTATTGAGACCCACTACCTATTCCAAGTGAGTCAGGCGAGTCTATCTCGATTGATTTGATGAGTCTCACCAAGAGTCGGAATGATAATAGTCAGGTCATTATGATCACTTTGATCGATTCTACAAATATGTTATGTTTATTCCTCTACCTCTCGAAGCTATAACGAAATCTGCCATCAAGAAGTTTTAGATGCGATGGGTTTCGGAATATGGATTTCCAAAAACCATCGTCTCTGATCGGGATGTACGGTCCAACAGTGGCAAAAGTTGATGAAGGCATATGGCACCCGATTCACCTTGTCGTCAGGGAGACACCCTGAAACGAATGGGCAAACTGAACAAATGAATCGTCTGTGCCAACAACTTTTGCGAATGTATGTACGGCGAGATCAGATCGATTGGGATGAGAACTTGCCTAAGATTGCAATTGCATACAACAACAGTTTCCACACCGTCACCGTTGGAACATCGAACGTACTTCACAAAGGATGGAAGCCACGACATCTCATTGATGCTTTGATACGGGACCGAGTCCAACAACTACCCCTAGGAATACGAGAATTTGCAGTTCTGTATGAAGAGGACATAAAGAAAGTCAAGGAAAATATTATAAAAGCCCAACTACAAATGATTGAATAGGCTAACAAACATCGTCAGCCATCAAACTTCAAAGAAGGAGATCTTGTTTGGGTCAAGTCTACAAAATATTCCTTAGAAGAAAATGTATCACAGAAACTGCTACCTGTCTACTACGGATACTGGGAAGTTCTCAAGGTGATAGAGGATACTGATGGACCATCATACAGAATAGATGTACCCTCACACCTCAAAACATATACCCCCACACCTCAAAACATATCCCGTCTTTCCTGCCTCTAAGCTACTGCCATATGTAGAAGGACATGATTTTAAGCAGGCCATCTATGTTTCCTCCTTCAATGGATGGAGGCCATGAAGTTGAGAAGATATTTGAACATGGATACTTTTCTACAGGTGGCAGAGGTAGGCTAGAAAACCAGTTCAAGGTAAAGCTTAAGTCTCAAGTCCCATTTGAAGCTCAATGGTTTAGCAAGAAAGAGCTTTTACCTACTGCTCCTGATATTGCCTCAGCATATGAGAGTGGATTAAACCACCAGTACCTGGCCCAGCCAAAAAAAAAGTTGCGGCCATTAATGTGCCGAAACTTCCAGGGTTCGGGAAAGGCTCGGCACTAAAATTAGTGAAGAAGTTGCTGGACCCAAGGAAGAGAAATCGGTGTACTCTTGTTTTTGTCGTGCTCCACATGCAGACACGCTCCAGCTGCAGCTATAGTACAGGCTTCAACAAAAAAAAAAAAAAAAAAAAAAAACATTCCAGATCACAGACGTTTCTCGAGATGTATTGGTCCTTGAATGGGGGACCATACATTCGAAATGAGAACTCAGCGGAGCACCACGTCGTTTGTAACTTGCAGCCTTCATCATCACGGAGGAAGAAGTGTTGCCGTGACTTCTGGTTTCGAATGTATGGTCCCCTATTCATGGAACTATACATGCAGAGAAAAGTGCCCTGGCTTATGCAACACGTGGAAATATATGAAGAGAAAAGAAACAACCGTTTCAGGGAATTTTCATGCAATGACTTTTGCAACCGTATTGGGACTTGATTAGGGCCATATACATTCTATATTATGAGTAATATGGCGTGACATATTTTTGCGTTTCGTTCTTTTCCTCCTAACAAAAAAAATATATATATATATATATTGGTTGCATCTGATCTGCCTCGCCGTGAGAAATGGGGAGCATTGAAGTCCTGCCAGCGAAGGAAAGCCAGACACTCCCCAAAGACATATATGCCAATGTATATGTCCATGTTCTAGTGCACGATCCACTATCATTTTGCACATTTCGAGAGTGGTGAATGAATGCCCGTATGTCGTTCTTCGTTTTCTTTTTTTTTTTTTACGAACTGTCTTCGGCGTTTCTGACGGGAACTCCCCGTGAGAGACGGGAAGTAAGTAACTGAAAGCTGTCGTTTCACAAATATGCTCTTTCTTTTTCTTTTTTTTGCCCCAAGGACTGCTCTCTGCAGAATGTCTTGGACTGCACTTGTGGGCACGCCCGGGTTGCTGCACGAGTGAAAACAACGGTGGTACCAGTGCCACTCCACAGTACACCCAAATTCGTTCCCGCCCCCTCCAGGTTCGGCAGCCCTCGGCACGCAGGCAGAAATGAGGGTCGGGCCTCAACAACCGGTAGGTACTGGTGGTTTAAAAGAAGACTTAGCCAAAAGATGAGATTTATGCGATGGACCTCGAAAATTGGGCCGACAGGAATGCAATAATCAGCTCAGATATTCCTATGTCGTCGGCCAGGGGGGGCACCCACAGGCCACAGTTCGGCCTCAGCAAGGCCCTGTGTTCGACTGCACGAAACAAGGCCCTGAAATGAGGCTTCAAAGGCCCTGCGCCCGACAGTTGACTTCGGTCAACTGTAACTCGGAATAATGAGGCTCACGAGTCAAATTCTGCACAGACCCAGTACAGGCCACCAATCAGAGACACACACTTGGTTGTACGTAGGTATCCAGGCAGCATTTGGTCCAAGTGGAAGTCTGTAACTGTACGCGATCCAGGCCATCGGCTGTGAGTCAATCTGAGCCTTTGTACTTGAGAGACCAGAGGCTGGTCAACAGCGTCAACATTATTTTTTGACCCAGCCCCTGGGGGTCAACATTCAGTCTTCCACTTGCTGCTTGACGCTGGCATGACGCTGGCTGGACTCTGGCTTGATGCTGGCAAGACGCTGGCACTACGCTGGCATCGTGCGACGACGACGCGAGACTGCTGCTTTGAGTGCTGGAGCATCTCTGCTTCTGGCGCCAGCTACCTTCTTGGTTGCTGCCATGGCACTTGCCCCGCTGTCTTCGACATTGCTGATGTGGCATTTGCCACGCTGTCTTCGACATTTCTGACGTGGCATTGCCACGCTGCCTTTGGCATTGCTGACGTGGCACATGTCACACTGTCTTCAACTCAGATTGGGATTTCGACAAGGAGGGAGATCAGGAACTGTGGGATTGATTGAGTGAGAGAGAGACGGAAACTTACCTGTTGATGCTTTGGACATTGCACGCTGCAGTGACATCTTCATGGAAGATTTGTGCCGAAGTGGCACTCTGCTGTGATCAGATCTTGTCAGACTCGTTTCTGGGATATTTTACCGCAATCATGTGTGGCTGAATGGTGCAACCCTTTTCTTCTCTCATTTTTTTCTGCAAGAAACACAACCAATCAACTGTTGGTATGCAAACCTGAGCTGAGAGCTTTGACTGCTGAGGGAAGGGAGCTACCTTACTTTCTAAGTTGTATTAAAAGGAAAAAACAGAAAAAAAAAGGAAGCACACTGGGCAGAAAGCGTGAACGGACCTACCGTCAAACCCTATATCCTACTACCGGTAGGGCGAGGTCCCATTAGCAAAGAGAATTGGATTAGGCGCCTGAGTCTGAACATCTTTTATGCAGAGAAAAGGAGATGAATGGCGATTTTCTGCACCTCTCCACGAACACGTTCAGATTCAGGAGTTAAAATGAAGCCTCTTTGTTAAGGGTACCTCACCCTGATGCGGTCCGCCCCTACCCTGACAGGGTCGGGGAATGCCAGATGCTAAACAAATTTGCGAGGATCAGGCTCCTCGGCAGGCCTTAGGAGCCCCAATTGCAAAAGTGTGCCCGCCCTAAGTGAAGGCGGGCCTGATAAAATCGAGAGGCCCATTTGGGGTTCAGGCAGTTGTGTCGCATCAGTTGGTTGAAGGAACCCAGGCCACAACCAGCCACACTTTGTTTCAGCCTTCTAGGCCTTTCTTTGAAGCAGGCCCTGGGCCGCATCTGCAGCAGTATACACGACAAGCAGTTGGGAGGAGTAACCACATGGGGCCCAGGGCAGTAGCAGCAGAGGCCCAGCTACCCGGGGCCTACCGGAAGCTTCTGGGCACAGGCCCAGCCCAGCCAGGCAGCGCACAGGCCAGACTCTTTCCATGTAGGAAAGAGCTTGCTGCCTGGCCAGTCATTTGGGCACTTGCTAGTTTGCAGCAGCGCTGCTGGAGCGAGCGCTCGTGGGCTGCTGCTAGCGCAGAGCAAGGTGCCACGCACGTTCCGTCGTGTAGAGGAAGGGCGCTGCTGAGGGCAACGCCATAGCCCAGCTTCCATAGCTGGCTGGTGCTTGGTTGTACAGTGGTGGTCTTCGTTCATGAGGGAGAAGACGTGGGTGATAGACAAGAGAGAGAGAGTGAGAGGGAGAGATGAGGATCAAGGCGTGAGGGCACATACCTGGTCTTCTTGATAGTCTGCATGGGGCGACATCTTCATGTACTTCAGTGGCTGCTGACGTCAACAGTTGCACTGTCAATTCGTAGGCAGGAAGTAGCTGTGTGATAGTAGTTTGGGCGCTGAGCGCCAGGTAGGAGGAAGGGCTCTGGATACATATGTGGATGATGACGAGAGTGAGCTCTCATTGACACTCCGATTCAGTGTTTTGGATCTCCATTGGTGTAATATTGGTGCAATTCTGCTTTCTGGACAGTGTGGGACTTTCTGGCTTCAATGTGATTGTGCAATCTGGAATTTGTCATCTCGCTATTGCTCATTTTCCTTGCAATTTGGTATCAGAGCTGGTTCGAACTACACTTGTTGGTTCTTCGCAATAGCTGTTCGGTGCTTCGCGTATGCAAGTGGGGCAGTGATACTACTTGGGCGTTGAACGTGCGGCAGCCCAGGGTCGTGTGGGCGCACCAGGAAGGCTATGAGGTGACATTCGGGTGTACGCTGGATGATGAGAACTCGCTGATGAGGCATTTAAGCCGAGGTGGAACTACATTTCGTTGTTTGTTGTGCCAAGGCAAAGACCGGTCATCATAAATGCACGTCAGGTTGCTGGTGATAAATTTGTGGTTGGGGGCAGCATTATGAGGTACGTTGCTCTCATCCTTATCTACCCTCTTCATTGCTTCTTACCGTGAGGAAGTGAGTTTTGTCTTGAGAGTCCTCTTGATCTGAGGTGTTGCGAGCGCTCAACCTTGAGAGTCGACATTCTTCCTGGGCAGCAAGCTGGTGGGAGACGGGTGAAGCCTCTGAAGGGCCCTGGACGAAGCACTCGGGCCACGATCACCATGCCAACCCGTTGGGACTAGTACACACATGCTTTGCCGCAAGTCCTTGGTTCTGCTTGCTCCGCTGCTAGAGGCCATGCTGGGCATGCCAACCTTACAAGAGACGCTCACCAGACCGTCTATAAATATTTATGTCGGGTTCCAGTTGAACCCTGGCTGTGATCACAAGCAGATGCTCTTCATGATGAGTTACAGCAGCAGTTGAGGGATGTAGAAGACAAAAGGAATAAGGCTAGAATGAGAAAAGTCAGACTAGGAGCTAGGAGGCAGGAGTTAGGAGAGTTGGAAGCACTAGATGAGTCAACACTAGATCCTGCGGTCATATCAGTGCAACGCTCACTGCTTTGCGTGGCGGAGGCGCAGGTGGTGCAGCAGGAGTTGTTGGTCGAGCTAGTGGCCAGCTATAATCATATTATGGCAGCACTGCAGGCTCCTCGTCCCATGATGAGGCAGCCTCATTACTTTGTAGCTCCCCCTACGGTTGTGTGTCCCTCAGTGACGCCGTCGGAGGCAGGGCCCTCTTCCTCTCCCATGTTTGGTATGCCTATCACAAGTGGTGTAGCAGCAGCTAGTGACCAGGTCCTTAGGACTTCTCCCCTACCATCAGTGACAGTTGCAGCTACAGTCCAGCCGTCAGGACCGCCTCAGGTTAGCGTGCAACTTGTTCCAGTGGTTACGCAGCCACTGCAGCAAACACCCGGGGCAATCCAACCCATGCAGTGGATGCCCAAGATCCCCTTGTTGAGTCCTAAACCCTTCTCTGGCGACAACAAGAAGGAAGAGGATCTGGACACCTGGGTGAGGACTGTGCCGACCTATGTGAGGCACAAGCTCACAAGGCCAGAGCAAGAAGTTATAGTTGCTGTATCCTTTCTCGAAGGCTCTGCAGTGCGATGGTTGAATGATCTAGTGCAGCAACAGGGCTATGGTCAGAACTTCGATGCCTCGGCCCAGGCCAGGACGTTGGAAGACTTCGTACGGACTATGTATAATAGGTGGCATGACCCTCAAGGGGCTCAGAAGACCACTAACTCACTTGCTAGTCTTGGTTCAAAACGGTACCGAACAGTTCGTGAGGTCACGGACGCCGTAGAACGTCTGATCGTAATACCTAGTGTGCGCTATGACCCTCAGGTACTCCTCATAGCTTATCTGCGATGTCTGCCCACAGATGTCAAGAACAAGCTGGTGGATGAGGCCACCATCGATGTCCATAACTTCGCTACTTTCAGCAAGAAGGCCTTAGATATAGAGGCCAAGCTTGGGACCACACAGCACGGACCCGTGGACGGTAGGAAGAAGAAGCTTCTCCAAGATTGGACGAAGAAGGGCAATCTTATGTTCGTCGACCAAGATGGTCAGGCGACTGAGATTGACGACTTCCTTGACTATGGGGAAGACACAGAGCAGGATGGGGCTAGTGAGACTTCGGATGGGGGAGTCGTGGCACCCATCAAGGAAAAGGCTAAGGGAATCGGGAAATAGAAGGTAGGTCATTTTAAGGGTCAAGGCGACCAAGGGACGCCAGTCTGGGTGCAACTTGGTTTAGACTAAGAGGTGTGGAGAGACCGCGTTGTCAGGGGCACGTGTCTTAACTGTGACAACTTTGGCCACACAGCTAGAACCTACCGAGGCAAAAAGGTCACAACGAAGGTAGCCTCTCCTACGGTGGTGGGCTTATCTTCGAACTCTGGTGGTGCATCTACGAGCACTTCGCACCTCGGGCCAGTAGGCGTTTTAGCCGCTCTTACCTGTGCTGAAGTGGTAACGTTGCCTTCCCCACTTCAGGCGTTGGCCAAGGCTATTGACCCCGTAGTCACCTCGCAGACACATGTAGACCAATCGATGCTATGTTCGAGAGATGTGTCTGAGTGGTCACGAAAGGACCCCAGAGACTCTTGGGCGATGATTAGTAGAGGTCCTAAAGGTGAACATTTCATGGTAGAGATTGATGCTGGTGGCCGCAAAGTGGATGCCTTCACAGACATAGGCTCTACATGAAACTTCATTAGTCGTGCTTGTGTGGATAGGTTGCGCTTAGGGAAGCAAGTGCAGCGGTTGAATATCTATAGCATCCACTTTACCCAACAAGCACAGTATGGTAGTCCAAGCCTATGTCAAGGACGTAGTCTGCACCTTTTCCTACAGAGGAGGGGCACTGAGACACAAGATCTCGTTCCTTGCAAGCGACGAGCTGCCATTCGATATGTTGCTAGGTATGTACTCCCTCGAGGTCGCAAAGCCACAATTCGATTGGGATAGAAAGGTGATGATCCACAAGTTGCCAAACGGAAGGACCGTTGGACTGTAGAAGCACAAAGCTAGCAGGCTAGTGGAAAAGTTTGCATGTGTGCTTCATCCTTCTATACCTATTATAAGCAGAACCGCGAGGAGAGGATGTATCTAGTCTTTGTCTCCGAGAATGGGGAGCCTTAAAAACACCCCCAGAGACAGAAGCAGTTGTTGCAAGCTATCCAAACCTTTTTGAGGAGCCTCGAGGTGTGGTAGAAAGGGAGGTGGTCCATGCCATAGAAATCGTCCCGGTAGCAAAGTACCTAGAGGACGGATATATAGGACGTCTCCTGCGGAGTTATATGAGCTCCGCCGGCAGCTAAAGGAGCTCACAGAGAAGGGCTGGATTTGGCCAAGTGTGCCCCCCAGTGGAACCCCAATTCTCTCTGTCCCGAAGAATGGGGGGACCGTGAGGGTGTGCATTGACTATAGAGGCCTCAATGCTATCACAGTTCAGAACGTAGAGCCTCTACCCCACATCGATGACCTCCTGGATAGAGTGCAGGGATGTCGGTACTTCACAAAGATAGATTTGAAGTCCGGATCTGAAGTCCGAATCTGAAGTCCGGATCTGAAGTCCGGATACCATCAGATTGCCACTAGGCCTGAGGATCAACACAAAACCGCTTTTCAGACCAGGTACGGTCTGTATGAGTTTGTGGTGATGCGCTTTGGACTATGCAATGCTCCTGGTACATTTCAGCACGCAATGAATCCGATGTTCCGTGACTACCTAGATAAGTTTATCGTCGTGTACCTCGACGATATCCTAATCTTTAGGACTGTAGAGGAGCACGCTGAGCACTTGATAAATAGTGCTAGGTCTCCTAAGACAGCACCAGTATAAGGTAAACTTGGAGAAATGCGAATTTGGTCGCACCAAGATCTTATATCTGGGTCATGTGATCTCCGCGAAAGGATTGAGGCCAGACGATGCCAAAGCGGCCAGCATACGTGACTGGCCCAGACCTCAAACTATTACTGAGGTCCGATCGTTTTGGGGGATGACGGGCTACCATCGTCCGTTTGTTAAGAACTATAGTACTATAGCTTCCCATTAACAGACCTAACCCGCCTTGACACCCCTTAGGAATGGACCCAAGAGTGTGAGGCAGCCTTCAAGAAATTGAAGTATGCTCTGACACACTACGAAGTCATCAAACTTTTGGATCTTGACCAGCCCTTTGTTGTGACCACAGACGCCAGCCAAGATGGCATAGGAGCGGTCCTTGCGCAGAAGGAGGGGGAAAAGTTGAGGCCCATCGAGTACATGAGCAAAAAGATGCCATCTCATAAATTAGCTAAGTCCACGTATGAGCGAGAGCTCTATGCCCTATATAAAGCGTTGGTCCATTGGAGGCACTACCTCCTAAACAGATTTTTCTATGTAAGATATGACCATGAGACGCTGCGCTGGATCAAGACACAGCATGTGCTCTCTGATGCCCTGAAGAGGTGGATTGAAGTCATAGATATGTATGACTTCAAACTCGACCCTCTGAAGGGAGGGTACAATAAAGAGGCTAATGCACTACCACAAAGGGCAGAGTATCTGGGCGCGCTAGTAACCAAGTTTGGCATATTTAATTATCTAACTCGATCCATGGTGGAAGCCTATCAGGGAGATACATTATGTCAAAAATCATCTGTAAGTTAGAAGCTAAAGAAAAAGTCACTTCTGATGAATTTACGGTGGTTAATGGCTTGCTATTCCTTGAGAAGGCTGGGAATAAAAGATTGTGTGTTCCGGATAAGGAGACTTTGCGTCGTTTGTTTTCAAGAGAATGTCAGCTAACTTAGTGCAGAATTTTTGGTGGCCCTCTATGATGCAAGATGCGAAGAAATATGTTGAGACTTGCCAGGTTTGCCAACGGGACAAGCCTAGGACTCAGGCTTCGCTTGGGCTCATCAAGCCCTTGCCTATCCCTGAAGGTCCCGGTCAAAGTGTGTCCATGGATTTCATGGATACTCTTGTGAGCAGCATAGTGGACAGATTTACCAAGTATGCTAGACTAATCGCCATGCCAAAAACAGCGAAAATTGACTATGTCATCAAGCTGTTCATGGATAATTGGGTACGGGACTTTGGGTTTCCCAAGTCCATCGTTACTGATAGGGACGTCCGCTTCACCAGCGAACTATGGCAGAGTACTGCGCAACAAACGGGCACCCGACTGCAAATGACATCAGGGAACCACCTTGAGTCAAATGGCCAGGCGGAACAGATGAACTGAGGAGTGCAGCACCTGCTTCAGCATTACATCAAGCCAAGTCAAGATGACTGCGACGAGAAACTACCTCTCGTCGCCAGCCTGTACAACAACGTTGTGCACAGTACTACTGGCATGACTCCCAACCAACTGCATCTTGGTTGGAAGTCCAGATCCACACTCGATTTCCTGCTACCGGAAAACCAGCCATATACAGCACCCGGCAGCATAGGGTTTGTTGTCAGGTACAAACAGATGCTACAACAGGCTGTAGAACACATTAAGAAAGCTCAAGTTGCCACGCTTGCATCTGAGAACAGACACAGACGGCTATCTGAGTTTCAGTTAGGTGAACGAGTGTGGGTTAAATCATCTGAACTGGGACAGGAGTTGGGTATATCACGAAAACCAATGCCTCAGTATTTCGGTCCCTGGGAGGTCCTAGATATAGTTGGGGATCAGACAGATCGACCCTCTTATGTGATTCGCATCCCTGCTCACCTGCGCACACACCCAGTCTTCACGCATCAAAGCTAGTACTCACAGAAACTACACAGTTTCCTTCCAGACGATCAATGCTGCCCCCAACCATGGATGGCGAAGTCGACAGAGATGACATCGTGAAGCACAGAGTGATGCCTGTACCTAAGCCTCCCGGCAGAGGCCGACCTCCAAAGCCAAGGATGCAGTACCGTGTCAGATTCAAGACATCATACTGATCACAGCGAAGATCGGTGGTTTACCAGAGAGGAACTGCAGCAGACAGCTCCCCAAGTGATTGCAGGATATGAACGAAGACTTAGAGGGACTTTTCAGGGGACATTCAAAGGAAAAGAGGAGGGAATGCCAGATCAGGTTCCTCGGCAGGCCTTAGTGAAATCACACTTCTGATTATCCAACTTGTCATGTATGCAAACAGCGAAACAGCAACTGGCGACATGCGCCCACGCAATACTCAAGATATCGTAACCAGATATGAGTTCTCTTCAACTGGCTATGGCGACTGGGCGCCCACACAACTCACTGTTCGCACTCTGGATCACCCTGGATGTCCCACACGCAACACTCAGTATCATACTTCACAC